GCCAAATACACACTGGAAAAGGAGATCAGAGTGGCAAAGAGGAATTATTCTGAGAAACTAAGGACTCAGTTCACTTCCAGCGACTCAGTGTGGAAAAGTCTGAAAGAGATCACCAACTACAAGACACCATCCCCCAGCACTGTGGAGAATCAACAACTGGCAAACAATCTGAATGAGTTCTACTGCAGGTTTGAAAAAACACCCCACACCCGCCCTGAACACCTCTCCACACAACCATTCACACCTCCGCGGCCAAGTACAGGGGTATCCTGGACGAAAACCTTCTCCAGAGTGCTTAGGACCTCAGACTGGGCCGAAGGTTTACCTTCCAGCAAGACAATGACCCTAAGCACACAGCTAAAATAACGAAGGAGTGGCTTCCCAACAACTCTGTGACTGTTCTTGAATGGCCCAGCCAGAGCCCTGACTTAAACCCAATTGAGCATCTCTGGAGAGACCTAAAAATGTCTGTCCACCATCGTTTACCATCCAACCTGACAGAACTGGAGAGGATCTGCAAGGAGGAATGCCAGAGGATCCCCAAATCCAGGTGTGAAAAACTTGTTGCATCTTTCCCAAAAAGACTCATGGCTGTATTCGATCAAAAGGGTGCTTCTACTAAATACTGAGCAAAGGGTCTGAATACTTAGGACCATGTGATATTTCAGTTTGTCTTTTTTAATAAATCTGCAAAAATGTCAACAATTCTGTGTTTTTCTGTCAATATGGGGTGCTGTGTGTACATTAATGAGGAAAAAAAATGAACTTAAATGATTTTAGCAAATGGCTGCAATATAACAAAGAGTGAAAAATTTAAGGGGGTCTGAATACTTTCCGTACCCACTGTATATATATATATGTGTGTGTGTGTGTGTGTTTGTTTATATGTTTATGATTGTATGTTTATGTTTACATAACTGACTGTATTTTAACTGTGAATACTCAACAATACGTGCATTTTGACATATTTTTGTGTGTATTTAAACACTGTCACACACCTGAAGCCCAAAGTATAAACTCTTGACCGTTTTATGCTCCAACTCAGAGAATGCACACAGAAAGCCTCTTTTTCGCAGTTTTGTATTTTTTTTATATCAAGCATGTTATGCAGTAGACTGCATATTATGACAGTCATATTACATGATTTAACTGATTTGGACATTCCGTTTGGGAAAGCGCACTACTTTAAAGGAATGGAATGTGGCTCAATAACCATTTTATTTCAATTATCATGCTTTCATAATCTTTGGAAGCCAAAACATTTTCACAGCCCTCATGCCATGTAGCTTGCTAGTGCTGGTGTCCAGTTTGTTGAAAACTAGTTGTGAAATTGTTGTGCATATAACTCACCTGTTCTGTCTTTCTGTTGTCAGTTAATGTGTTGTGTTTTTCACAGGTGCATATAGGTTACCTTCCAAACAAGAGGGTTCTTGGTCTGAGTAAATTAGCAAGGTAGGCAAAATGCACCCAGGTTTCTCATATACATATATATATATATATATATATTTTTTTTCACAAACAGTGGCCCCAAAAAGTATCTGGATGCTTAAATCACTTCCATCTTTTCCCAGTCCATCTGAATGTCATTGTATTAGATAACAAAAACTACATCACATTAACTATGGATATGTTCTACTAACGTTTGACCACCAGAAACTGTCCATATAATTTTTGCCTTTATTCTTTTTAACGGTACATTTTATAAACATTTTTAAATCATGTTTTTCAATTTTATTTCCCATTAAAAAATTGTATATGGGGTCAGTATTTTTTATTTTTTTTTGAAAGATTTTATTCCAATACAAAGCCGTTATTTTAAATTATAATAGTATTTGACAATATTACTGTTTTACTGTATTTGTGATCAAATAAATGCATTTTTTTTCTTTTGTAAAATCCTTTAAAATACATTTTAGATTTTGTTAGGCTATATAATGAGGTGAATTAATGTTTTTATGATGCAGTATTTAATCTTAATGGACTCCATGAGCGTGCAAATTTATCCTGCCACAAAGCAGCGTGGTTTTTTTCTTTGCTTTTGCTCGAGTAAAAGGGATTAATGGCTCTCTTCCCCTCAGGGGTGTTGTTTGTCTGTGAAATCAAGATGCACGCCTGTGTGTGTGTGTGTTTGAAGCAGTGAGAGTGTAAGTGTCTGTAAGAGGATTAGACACAATGTGTGAGTGACAAAGAGAAGCTTGATCCAATCTGACCCCAATACCTGTGGCTTAGCCATTTCACTATGTTCCAAGCGTAACACGGCACTACACTAATGAAGACATGACAACAGCAGTCACGTACTGTAGCTCTCAGTAGTACCACACACACAGGCGCAGTTCTGATTTCTAAAATTAGTTACCGTTTCATTTTTTATGGCTGTAGTCATGACAAGGGACTGACTCTTCTAGTTGTCATTGTTGCCATGTAGTGTAGCGGATCACTGCTGGTCAAATGATCAGTCATGAAACACATGAGTGTGATATTAAGTTATATTTGATGTCCCAGCAGTGAAAATGATTTATTGTGTTTGTTCTGTTCTTATATTGTTCTGAATATTGAATAGTTGAATAAATATACTGTGAAAAAATGGAATGTGAATGATAATCTAAGGAGATTCTTATGCAATTTAGTTTGCCATATCCCCACTCTGGAGTTTTAAATTCACATGCAATTGAATAAATATGATTAATTAAAAATGACTTTAAATACAAATGATATATTATATATACTACCATTTAAAATTCGGAGTCTGTAAGATTTTCTGTTTTTGAAAAAAATCTCTTATGCTCAACAAGGCTGCATTTATTTGATTAAAAAACAGTAATATTGTGAAATATTATTACAGTCTAAAATAACCATTTTTATTTACTTTAAATTGTAAATTTTCTCTGTGATGGAAGAGCTGAATTTCTTACTACGTATTTCTTATCGATGTTGAAAACAGTTGTGCTGCTTAATATTTTTAATATTTTTGTGAATTCTTTGATAAATAGAAAGTTCAACAGAACAGCATTTTTAAATAAGAATCTTTTGTATCACTATTAAAGTCTTTACTGTAAGCTTGAATTGATTGATTTAATTGGCTGAATAAAATAATTTCTTACTGACCCCATACTTCAGAATGGTAGTGTATTTTAATTATTATATTACAGATATTGATATATTTTCTATAAATACACATATTATTAAATAAGAACTTAAATTAATATTTTCAGTTAGCAAGTGTCTTAATTGAAAGTGTGCTTTTTTGTTAGTTTACAGTTAGTGTTTTTGAATAAAATATATTAATTTTTAGTAAATATACTCCTGGCCCAGGTTTTATATCATTACCACCAACGACTAAAATCCCAGAGCAATAAAGTCTTATCAAACCACCATAACATATCACGAAGGTATATTGTGTATAAATCTAGCTTGTTTTTTGTTTTGCACCAGGATTGTTGAGATATACAGCAGGAGATTGCAAGGTAATGGTCTTTTTTTCCTCAAACAAACAGTTGCATGTAATGATATTTATATTCCTTCAAAGTCCTTATTTGTTTCATTGATAACTTGAAAAGTTCAGATTGAAATGTTCTCAGTAGTTCTGCCGGTTGCATAAACCGCTTAGACTAGACTTAAAAAGTTAGTCATTTAATTTTTTCTCTTTAAGACTGGTCATAATTTCTTAAAGTCAGTTATAAAAAGGGAGAATGGTCTCATTTGAATCCAAAAGGTAAGTCTGATTACCTTATGGCTGTAGTCATGACAAGGGACTGACTCTTCTAGTTGTCATTGTTGCCATGTAGTTTAGCGGATCACTGCTGGTCAAATGATCAGTCATGAAACACATGAGTGTGATATTAAGTTATATTTGATGTCCCAGCAGTGAAAATGATTATTGTGTTTGTTCTGTTCTTATATTGTTCTGAATATTGAATAGTTGAATAAATATACTGTGAAAAAATGGAATGTGAATGATAATCTAAGGAGATTCTTATGCAATTTAGTTTGCCATATCCCCACTCTGGAGTTTTAAATTCACATGCAATTGAATAAATATGATTAATTAAAAATGACTTTAAATACAAATGATATATTATATATACTACCATTTAAAATTCGGAGTCTGTAAGATTTTCTGTTTTTGAAAAAAATCTCTTATGCTCAACAAGGCTGCATTTATTTGATTAAAAAACAGTAATATTGTGAAATATTATTACAGTCTAAAATAACCATTTTTATTTACTTTAAATTGTAAATTTTCTCTGTGATGGAAGAGCTGAATTTCTTACTACGTATTTCTTATCGATGTTGAAAACAGTTGTGCTGCTTAATATTTTTAATATTTTTGTGAATTCTTTGATAAATAGAAAGTTCAACAGAACAGCATTTTTAAATAAGAATCTTTTGTATCACTATTAAAGTCTTTACTGTAAGCTTGAATTGATTGATTTAATTGGCTGAATAAAATAATTTCTTACTGACCCCATACTTCAGAATGGTAGTGTATTTTAATTATTATATTACAGATATTGATATATTTTCTATAAATACACATATTATTAAATAAGAACTTAAATTAATATTTTCAGTTAGCAAGTGTCTTAATTGAAAGTGTGCTTTTTTGTTAGTTTACAGTTAGTGTTTTTGAATAAAATATATTAATTTTTAGTAAATATACTCCTGGCCCAGGTTTTATATCATTACCACCAACGACTAAAATCCCAGAGCAATAAAGTCTTATCAAACCACCATAACATATCACGAAGGTATATTGTGTATAAATCTAGCTTGTTTTTTGTTTTGCACCAGGATTGTTGAGATATACAGCAGGAGATTGCAAGGTAATGGTCTTTTTTTCCTCAAACAAACAGTTGCATGTAATGATATTTATATTCCTTCAAAGTCCTTATTTGTTTCATTGATAACTTGAAAAGTTCAGATTGAAATGTTCTCAGTAGTTCTGCCGGTTGCATAAACCGCTTAGACTAGACTTAAAAAGTTAGTCATTTAATTTTTTCTCTTTAAGACTGGTCATAATTTCTTAAAGTCAGTTATAAAAAGGGAGAATGGTCTCATTTGAATCCAAAAGGTAAGTCTGATTACCTCTTGGCTAACAACTAGTTGATCAAACTAGTTCTTAAGACACAGTCTTAACACAGTGGCTATGTTTATGCAACTGGCCCTGGTCTGCTTGTCTTATTTCAGTTCAAGAGCGTCTAACCAAACAGATTGCAGTCGCCATCACTGAAGCTTTACAGCCTGCTGGTGTCGGGGTGGTCATTGAAGCAACGTATGTAAAAATTCAGGTTCAACTTTATTTACAATGTAATAACAAGAATGACCAAATATGATCACAAGTGCAATTTTATACATATTTTATGTTACAACGTAATGCTAAGAAAGACCAAATATCAGATTTATTTCTTTTCTTTACTGAAAAAGTCACAAAGTCAAACGTTTTTTTTTGCAAATTTTGTTTTACAATGTAAAAGGTATGAACAATCCTCGAGTTATTTAATTTAATTTTGCAATGTAATAAGTATGAACAGTTCTCACAATTTATTAGATTTTTTTGCAATGTAACAAGTATGAGCAATCCTCAAGATTTTATATTTATTCTTTTATTAATTTATTTTATAATGTAATAATTATGAACAATCCTCAAGATTGTTTTCTTTTCTTTTTTCTTTTTGTTTGTTTTATTTTGCAGTGTTGTAATTATGAACAATCTTCAAGATTGTTTTATTTTCTTTTTGTTTACGTTTTATTTTACAATGTAATAAGTATGAAAAATCCTCAAGATATTTTATTTAATTTTACAATGTAAAAAGTATGATCAATCCTCACAATTTATTTTCATTTATTTTACAATGTAATAAGTATGAGCAATCCTCAAGATTTTATTTTATATACAATGTAATGCTAAGAAGATGCTAAATGCTAAGACCAAATATCAGTATTCGATTTTCTTTACTATTGTCCAGTCACAAGTAAAATATATATATTTTTAAATAATGTAATAAGTATGAACAATCCATTTCTTTATTTTACAATGTAATCAGAATGTCCAATCCTCAAGATATATTTAGTCTCTTTGCTGTTCTCCAGTCACATGTGTATGGTTATGCGAGGCGTCCAGAAGATGAACAGCAAGACTGTGACCAGCACCATGCTGGGTGTTTTCCGCGAGGACCCCAAGACACGAGACGAGTTCCTGACCCTGATCCGGAGCTGAGAGAGTCCCTGTTCGCTCTCCACTGCCAAAACTCTCTGACCAGCCCTCTTCTCAAACGCCTCCCTGGATCGAAGGAGTCTTCTCTGGTTCTGCCTCCGGACGAGGCACTGCTGCTGTGTAACATAGTGTCCCACCCGCCTCTGGGATGGTTACATCGGTAACACCGTCTCTTCTGTATCACGTGTGTGTGTGTGTGTGTGTTGTGCACGTTTAGTCAGTAGAGCTGTGGGAGCCTCTATTGACGGGACTGTGGCTATTACTGTTACATGGAAGCATTGTGTTTTAAAGGACGTCCTAGATTAGCACAATTTGACCTCACTAAACTGACAAGCACCAAAACCCACCGCAATTTGTTTACATCTCTTTCCGGTTGGGTCACATTTGTGCTCTATTAAACGCAATTGAGCTGCCTGAGATGCACAAACCAAGCAGTTTTATTTTCACGCTTCTGAACAGGGAGGTAAGGTGTCATTCTGAGTATTCAGTTTTACTGTTTTAACGACATAAAAGTACTGGCGAGGTACTGAATGACCACTAAATGATTTCCAATATTTATACACCTTGATATTTACAAGGCACTTCAAAGATGATCATGGTAGTATAATGGTACATGTCCAAAAAGAGCATAGTATTACAAAGCACCACTTTTTATAAGTGAATACATCCAGACCAGTTTTGTTGTTGTGTTGAACATGTATTATGGCTGTGCTGTCTTAAAATGTAATATTTAATATAATGTGTCCTGTGCATCCGTCAATAATTGTGCCCAGACCCAAAATATCATCTGCTCAAAAGGATAGTTCACCCAAAAATGAAACGTGCCCATATTTATTCACCCTCATGCTGTCCAAACATGTTTGCCTTAACCCTGACATATGAAATAATAGTCTGAAAAACTCGATTTTTTTTTTAATGGAACCATGTATTGAAGCTTAGTTTGACAAAAAAAAAAAAAGTTTGCATGTTGTTTTTATTTTTATTTTTTATACGTCAGGCTTTTATGGCTCATATAGTATGATATAGGTAAAAAAAGCCTGATGATGATTCCTCAAAACACTGATGGATCATAATTAATCACATTTTAAGATGATTTTACCCCCCAAAAATTTTTTAAGTATGGATAAAGTAAACCTTTGTTGGTTCAGTCCAGTATGTGTTTATCTTGAAATATTTCTAACAACATAAAATGTATTCTTACATTTACAGTACTTTATAAAAAGAAATATGTAAAGATTTCACAGCAAAAAGACACGTGTACCACAACCTGAAGGGGGACGGTGTAAAAAAAAAAAATTAGAAATAGAGATATATATATATATATACACACACACACAATTTATTGCAAGGACAAAAACAACCCTCCTTCAAATATCTTCCTTTTGTGTTAAGCCAAATAAAAAAAACAATGTAGGTTTAAAACAACATTAGGGTGAGTAAATGATGACTGAATTTACATTTTGGGTGAACTGTCCCTTTAAGTGTTAATTTGAGCTCACTATTGACTGTATTTACATGTTTTGTGCAACATTATTATTTTATGTTTAAAATCAGCTGTTGAGTCTGATGTGGATGTTCTGTGATGAAGTGATAACCAGCTCCAGCCTTCTGAATGTCCTGTGTATGGCCATTGATGTTGTTTACACTTTTATTTGTTCGAAAAAAAAAGACCAAGGGTGAAAGGTGCAGTCAAGGTCAACTTAGTATCTGATTTTGCACATTGTGGGATTCATTTACAGTATGAAGAATACAGAACATAGCTGTACTGATAAATGTGATCTTTGTAATTAAAATAGGATTTAAAAAAGATGGAAACCAACTAAAAGATATTTTAAGCTTCTACATTTGTAGATCATATTTTGTACATTTCCTCTGACGCATGTTTACATGTGCTTTTGAGTTACAATTTAAACTATTATATACATCTGTATCATTGTAGAAAATTATATTAACCTCAAAAACGTGGATACTGTGGATTTACTGATACTGTTGTATTGCCTGTGTAGTGACTTTTTTTTATTATGAAACATTGTTTGAGTGATGTTCTGCATTCATGAGTTCAGATGAAACTCTGAGCCAGATGGTGTCTGAGATGTTCAATGTCACAATCAGTGGATTCATTAAGAAAATGAGCACTTAATATTGAGAACTGAGTGTTATTCATGTGGCCTTCTTTAAACAAAAGAGCCTTTCAAATTCTTTACTATTGATGTTCATCATTTTCAGCTTAAAATAAAAAATCTTGTGTAAACTATATAGAATTCTTGTTTTTTTATGTATTTTTGTTGAGCGGAGTTGGTAAGCAAAAGACAAGAAACATTGAAGGGTGGATCACACATATTTTACCCTAAATTCACAAGAAAAACAAGACAAGTGAAGGACATTACCCTCACAAATTCACAATATTGTAATGTAAAAATTCTCTATTGTAAGATGTGTTAAAATGTTTTTTTTTTATGTTTTACAATTTAAACATTTAAAAATGTACATATTGTGAAATTACGGCTTCTTACCTTTAGAGTTCAATATTCTATCTCAATCTTTTCTTTAAGAGTGGTTTTCTTCAATCATGAAAGTAGTTTAGTCAGGCAGCACAAGCCCAATTCGTTTTTTTTTTTTGTACAAACATATTTTCATGGTGAAATCCTACTTTTTAATGATCTCTATTTAAAGGAGACATATTATGCCCCTTTTTTACAATATGTAATATAAGTCTCATGTGTCCCCAGAATGTCTCTGTGAAGTTTCAGCTCAAAATACCCCACCGATCATTTATTATATCATTTTGAAAATGCCTATTTTGAGTGGAAGCAGAAACACATGTTTTTCGGGCTTGTTTCTTTAAATGCAAATGAGCTGCTGCTCTCCGCCCCCATTTCCAGAATAGAGCTGCCATTACAGCTCGTACCTGCTAAAAACATCTGTTTTGGTTCTGATTATCATGTTTATCACGCTGAAATCATGTGTTTTAAACCATATTAGTTTAAACTTCTGATATACGGTTTTCTGAGTGCACACATCCAAAGCACACGGACAGAAAGCGGCTGTCACAGCATGTGAGTACTAAACTAAGTTCTCATTCACTCACAAGTTTACGTTAAAAACAGTTACAAGTTACAAAAAAAACAGTCGGTTGTGTCTGTGAAGGTAAACAGCTGGGAAATAAATTGCATGTTTATTTCAGATCTGTGTGGCAGCAGCAATATACAGTAAATAAATCATTAAATCCTCTGCTCTCTTGTCTCCTCTGAGGCTGGGACTCTAAACAGTGTTCTGTGCTCGTCTGTGCAGCCAAAGACAGAACAGTTAGTATGTTTTGCTCAAACTTTCGTCATGACATTAGAACTGCTACACTGTTGTCGCTTGCGAAATCAAATGAAGGCGCCATGGGTGGAAACTTACAGATTAAGGGGCGGTGATATTATAATGAGATCCCTTTACCACGTCACCAAGGGAGCAAAATCAGATGCACTCGTTTTCTCAGACGCTTGCAGAAAAAGGCTTCCCAAAACAAAGATACTGGGTTAATCTTTTTCATGTTTCCTTGGTTGGTAGATGCACCGGGGACCTGATTCTAGCACTTTTTCATGATGTCACCTTTAACTTCCACAAAATAAAATCACTTTCTAATTCTTTCCCATGTTTTCCATTAACAACACTGCCCATCTGTGTGACACTTTCATTGGCTTATCATAAATTAGATCATAAAACAGCCAGTCGAGTGACTCAGCATTTTTCTGTCCCATTTTTTTCACAGAAAGCCACGCCTCTTGGCAATAAAAATCAGTCTCGAGCTCTCTGATTGGTTGAAACTGAGAGGCGGCAGTAAATTCCTGGCAGACTCATGTGGTTAGTTACTCTGAATATAACAGCTGCTTTGAAATGAGAGCAACACATTGCGTCCTTTTCAAAAGTTACTCTTTAATACTTTTCGTCTGTGGTTATTACAAAGATGTCAAGGATGTCAAGCATTTAACACAGACCCAATGAAACTGACAAAAACACATTCAGTTGGCGGACAGAACATCACAGACACACA